TATATATATATATATGTACTGTATATATGCTTTACATAGCTAATTCGGATACTGAATAGCGCCGCGGCCATCTCGTTCTGCGGCGCAACTGCATTCGTGATTCACGATTCTGCAGCGAGTCACACGGTTGCTGGGTCTGCACGTGTGGCTTCGTGGTGGTAGAGAGGTCCATTTCAGCTCGAGCTTGAACACAAGAGCTTCAAAATCGCCAAAATACCCTCAAGATCATACGAGTGTCCGCTATACACTCGCACACGCCTTCAAAGGCAGCTAGCTGAGGCATGCAGTTCGTTCAAGAGTGCAGCAGATCTATCTGGGCACCTAGGCTCACAAAGCCAGGTGCCCTAGGACGATTTCATTGTATCCGCCAACAAAGTCCACATGGTGACGTATCCCAGAAGGGCGATGGGCAAGACATTACGACGCATAGCGACGTCCCAATGAAACACTCTTCTCGGTTCGCCCGACGAGATGCTGCGATGTCTTCGTCCCGATTGAGTGGTCGGCCGACGTATCTGACCCACGCTCGAGTTACCCCTGAATAGTCGCTCGGGTCCTCCTGACTGGTTCGGCCTTCGTCGTCGGAGACCAGCTGCAGATGTATCGTCAGTGAAGCTACCGGCAGAGAGCACCGCATCATCGTCCAAATCCGTCTCTGCCATCGTATCATCGCCTCCACTGCGCAGGCCCGCGTCGCTTTCCCATTCGCTCTCAGTCAAAGCGCTGCGACTGCTCAAAGAGGTCGGCAAAGGACCGATTTGGCTCAGCCCACCGCTCAGATCGGTAGAAGTGACCACGCTCCGGCTGCTGGGGGCGCCCATGATGGCTCTCCAGAAGCGTCTGCTTGGCTCCCGACGTGCCCTTCGATTCGACCTGCTACTCGCAGTCGGTGTGCTTGTTCCAGAGGTGCTGCCGGCCAGTGAATGGCCGGCAAAGTCTTCCGGAGCGTCTGCAATGTTGCTGGTCACCCATCTCGCCACAGTGTCCGAGAAGGCGGTGGTTGTGCCAATCACAACCCAGGCGCCTACAGGGTTTCGTGGACCGAAGATGAACAATGTGAGTCGAACGAGGGGCCAGCAGATGGCCTGTAAAGCCATAAGGCGAATGACGGAGCTGGGCAATGCATAGTAAGCCAGCCAGCGGCGCAACAGCAGCGTGGTGAATGATAGAGCGTGGTAGGCGGTCGATATACTCTGTGAAGTGCATTCAGCGCTCGGGTCAGCATCCGACTTTGCCTTGGGCGAGCTCTACACGCACGCACCCAGAGAGTGGAGACCAAGAATTCTGCAGCACTAGGCTGTCTTGGTCCTTCCAGTTGAATGCTGCGCGGGCTCATCAGGCACCCGTTGACAATCAGACACAAGACTGCATTTCGCAGAAGCCAGAAGGTGCCGAGACTGCCGGGCACCGCAGCAAGCAGACGCAGAGGGTGTAGCAGCCGTCGCATAACCCATGCCGAAGGCGCGCCAGCTCCTTCATCGCCATCCTCGGTGAGATGAGGTGGCCGGCTACGAGGCGGCGGCGGTGAGAGCCCCTAGCGCACCGTAGCATCCTTATCAGCCGTGCGCTAAATCATCAGAAAGACCGCTTTAACGAGGCGCACTCACATCATCATCACCGAGCGGGCTCATTCGCTCGGCGCGCGACGTGGTCGGCAAGAACCTTCCCCTTTCTCCCTGTTCTAGCCCAACAGGTGCAGAAACATTTCTGCTGTGCGACTGCGTGGAAGTGCGACTTGACCTAGGCGGAGTGACTGGTCGACTTGGTGTATACGGAGGCGGCAAATCGCATGGCTCATCTATGGTCGTCGTGCTTTGCGGCAGCGAGTATGATCGCAAGTCGTTCCGCGCATTACCATTCGCTGTCCTAACAGTGACCTCGTGCAAAGCGCGAAGCGCTTGCGGGCTTCCTGAGGGCGATGAGAGTCTGCCATTGGCGCTTTCAGGTCTATCAAAATTACCCGAATGGCGATAGGAGGCTGCATGCTGAAGGCCTTGCGCCAGGGAGGCAGCCAACCATGCAATATCCGCATCAGTAGCTGCGCCTGGCGGTGCAATGGTAGGTGTAGGCGCTGAGGAAGGTGCAGCTGCCGACGCTGACCCTGAGAAACCTCGCGGCTGTGCCGCCAATGTTTGCAATGATGAATAAGAGCTCGTTGGAGCATCATTCGTCGCGCCTGATATGGCACCACCGCTACTGCTCCCTGAGCCCGCGCGTCTCCTCCGCCTGTCGCTAGTGGCGCGGACAAGATCCGCCCCAGTTGGCCTAGCCTCGCCGTTTGTCAAGGCTATTTGCACGGGGGATCCAGCTCTCGGCGTTCGGGGCGTGAAAGCCAAACCTGGGTCGTTCGCCCACGATCTCGCACGATGGCGATTCCAGCCACGCGGCGAGGCTTCTGCTCCAGCCTCTCCTTCAGCCCTGCTAGGCGTCGAACTTTCATTAGGGGATCTGGACGTGCTGAGAGGGGACAGCTCGGTCGCTGCGATCAAAGGAGAGGATTTTGCGAGGCGACCCAACGTATTTCTTCGAGCAGCTTCGGTGACGATAGACTCGTCATGCTGACCGAGGTGTGCATCTCGACCTGGAGAAGGAGGTCTGGAGGAGGTGCGAGAGCTCCTGCCAGATGCAGACGTGGTGTCTCTTCTTCCATCACCAGGGTTTCTCGAGCCGTTCCTCGCAAGGTCAGCCGACCCAAAATAGTGAGCGCTCTGAGCTGAGGCTCGTGGCGTCTCGGGGCTATGCTGACCAGACCTGATCCGTTGGTAAGAGGATGGACCGGCTTCTCCGACCACGTGCATGCCATCGCGAGCATGCTGCGGCCCTGCACGAAATTCCAAAGCAGTATCAGAATCCGCCTCGCTTGCAGAATGAGCCTCAACTTCAGTCTCAGCTTCCCAATCCGTGTCTGTCTCTCCCTCCGTCTCGCTTTGGCTCTCAGATTCCACATCACTGTGATTCTGAGTCCGGAGCTGATCGCGGTCGCGGTCGAGGCGCTGTGGCAGCGCAGGAAAGACGTGTGCCGAGGGCCGCGAGAGGCTAAGAGTGAGGGCCGAAAGGCTAAGCGACGAAGGGTTGCGGGAAACAGGTGCGCTGATCGACGTTGGTGCACTCCGATTCGCGTCAGCCTCTGGCGTAGGGTCTCGATGTCGAAAGGCTGGTTGCGCTGCCAGCTCCTCGTTGGGAGTATAGGCCATGCGTGTAGACATCGATGCGAGGCTACGCCGTGGACGTCTCTACTCTTCAGGTGTCATCGAGGCGTGGACTGTGCTCCTGCTGACCTAGCCGCAGCTTCAGTGGCTGAAGAAGAGCGGAAGTGAGCGCCGCGGCATGTCGGATATGCCTGGATGCTGCGTCCTTCTTTCTTGCGTCTCTTTATAGGGTACTGGAGTGAGAAGCAGCTGGCCCGAAGCGCTGAGTAGAAGCGGTCTCCGATAACGTCTCTTCAGTCTCGGATCAGGCTTGATGTGATTCGCGAATTCGGTTTCGGTGGCGACGAGGCAAGGAGCGTCTACCGCAGAGGTTTCCCAGTGATTGATGCTGCATGACAATCTTGAATGACGAACTACGATCGAAGCACACAATTGAATGTGAATCGTAATCACGAACACATGAGGTCGCGAGACACGAGAGATGACGGACGGGCACACCGCCTTGAAGGTCACGTGGCCGCTCTTTGCCCGTAGGAGTGCGGCAAGAAACTCATTAACTCCACACGTTAATGACGAAACTTTGGATCGTGAATTGTGATTGAATGGTGTACCGGTACCGCATGCATGCACGATCGAGAGAGTCGCTGGCTGAGCAGTCTGAGTAGCGCATGCGCACGCATGGTGACTTGCCCTTCAACAACGCCCGTAACTGGAAGCCTCCTCGCTGGCCTCGCTGCTTGACGACTAAAGTCACGCTTTCCCCCCTCCATCCATCCATCCATCCATCCATCCATTCATCCACCCATCCATCGCATCCACAAGCGACCTTTGATCTGAATCATCCCACTTGTCAACACTCACGGGCGAGCGGAAGGACGCGACATCCTCGTGCTCCAGCTCTCGCGTTGAACCTCCGCACAGTCTACATAACACTCACGACTGTCCCAGCACCATACACTCCACATCTATCATGCCTTCCACGCCTAACACTCCCAGCACCTCATTTGGTGCTTATACATCATCTTCTTCTTCAAGATCTCATCTACGACGGGAGGCGCGCAGGCCCTTGAGTCGCTTTGCCAGAGGTCCAGCAGACATTGAAGAGGCCCAAAGCTCAACACAAGCATGGGCGTCCGACCAGGAAAGCAATGATGTGGAAGGTTCTCCTCCCCACCCGCGCCTTGCCACGGCATTTGACTTGACAGATGAGGACATGCAAGAGATCTGCAAGAGGTCGACATCGCCCACAAACTCGGACATCTCGGTGGCGCTGCTTACCGCTCCCAAGCTCAAGTGGCCCAACAAGATGGGTTGGTGCTTCATCACTGGGATCGAACCAGCTCGGGATGGTGAATTGGTAGTGGAGCGCCTGCACCAGATCCCAAGAGGCCCTTCGGGGCTCTTTTACAATGCTGGGCGAATGAGTCTTGCGCTTTACCAAACTGGATTGCTCAACGCAGCCTATACGCGCGTGCCATCGGGGGGGTCCTCGCCATCAGGGGATTCAGATGCTGAGTTCGAGTTTGCAGATCGGTTCGACAGGTACCAAGATGCTATCACCAGCTTGGGTGATGCTGCCGGCATGGTCCGGGCAATGAAGGTAAAAGTACTCCGTCTGGATCAAAACTTATGTCTGATGTTGAAAGATTTGCACCACCGCTATGACAGCCTCAAATTTGTTGTTGTGCCAAGAAGCGTGGACCTCTCCTCAATCATGACATCAGTTCTCACTCAACTGCGAAGCTTTGGAGCTTCAAGCATCCAAGATTGGAGGATCAACCATCAGTGGAGCTCGTATCACTGCTTTGGAGAAGGGGGGTCCCCAACGCGCTTTGTTATTTTTGCTGCGCAGTCTCTTCGACAATTTGACCTGCTCCGGTACAAAGCTTGTGCCTTGCCAAGGACCTCCTCACTCAAGGGACAGGCATATCAGAACTACCTAGACACAATGCCGGGAAGCCCTCCAGGGTCTGTGTGTCTTGGAGAGAGAGAGAGCCGCAGGTACCCTGATGCATGATTCATCATCATCAGATGCTGCTACCTGTACGATCATCTCCTCAACCCCTTGAGCAAGGACTATGCTCATGCTCGGGCTGAGCACAAGTATGACTTTGTGCTTGCCAC